GGTAGTTGAATAAAATTAATATAGTATCTGGTTAAGGATCCTAATGATTCTTTTCGATTCTGTATTCGATTCTCAAGTTTATATTAAATTTAATAGATGGGGTATACCCCACCATTATTTTTAATAGTGTTCCAAACCTTATGCGATTCTGTTCGATTCTATTCAATTCCAATTTTTGGAACCATATATTTGATGCTATAACCTGTTAAGCACTATTTCTCATAAGAAGCCATTTCACATGCTAATCCAGTGAGTATTGAGATTGTAATTTCTAGAAAAGGTGTTGAGGTGTAACGATCATTTGGTTGGTGTTACAATAATCATTGCCAAGTTTGATGCAATTCCTAGTTCCACAATAGACAGTTTTCCTTTCCTTATAATTCATGAGACTATAAAAGAAATACATTATGGAGGGTTACAAATAGGAAAAACTAGATAGCAAGACTATAACATGACCTTCTTCAACATAAGTTACGACTTGCTAGCAATATTTACCATTCTTATCTGTAGTAAAGATACTAGTTGATAACATTTACCAAAATAGAAAACTTCCCTTAAGACTTAGTCTGACTTTGGAGAAGTATGCTTGAAGCCTGACATTATCTAAAAAGGATTGGATCATTAATCCCATAAGGTTTAAAGGTATTAAAACAATTCCTGACCAATAAGGTTCTATCTATTTTCCAAATGGTGATTCTCCAGGCTTAATGCCTTAAAAAGAAAACTGGAAAAGATAGAGATACAGTACTCTGATAGGTAATCCATATGGTGTTAAAGAATTTTATTGAAAGGTTTACAATCTTGTGGCTGAAAGATGTAAAAAAATCTTAGGTGGCAGGCTGTATCCAGATGGTTTAAGGCCTGTAGATAAATTCTAGTTTATATATATAGTATTTAATATAGATTAACATTGTATATACCTTGTATATAATGACCTATCTATGAATAAACATGAACTAGAGTGTAGTCTCAATTTAGCATCAAAAAAAAAAAAAATTGAATTAAGCTATATTATGTCTGATTCAAATTTGAACTGTATATCTAAAAATAAATTGAATTGAATTTAACTAAAATCTGATTTGATTTGAACTATTGTAATTCCTATTTAGAAGAAAATAAAGATGGAGAACTAATAACAGGAAGGTACTTTAGATAAAAAGAATCAATATAATAAGCTAAAGTTTCTAGAGACATATAAATTAGTACAATTCTAAGGTGTATAAGATCAGATAAAAGAGACAATAGTGATTTGTTTTTATAAAGGTTAATTTATTTATTTAATAAAATAAAAGTTCAAATCTATTAATTCCTAGGTGAAACTAGAAACTTTATATACATGTTTGAGTTATATTATTTTTGTATATAATAAATATATGCTATGTTAAAAATATAAACTTATTTAATTTTGATACTTTCGGTTTGGTATCAGTATTACAAAGTTTTATACTAAAAATTTTTGGTAATTACTGATACCGATATCAAAAAATATTTTCAGTATTGGTTTTATAAAATACTATACCAAATGGTACCAATCAGAACCCTAGTCATGACTTGAAAGTTAACCTATATATAGTGGCTGCAATGCCTTCATATAATTAGATATTAAATTTCTCTAGGTAGCTAGACATTATTCAAGATATAATATAGGTTTTGAACTTCTTTTTTCTATATTCTTTGATGGTACCAAAAAGCATAAAGGATAGATCACATTTGCAAAACCTTGCATTTAACTCTTCCTAATAAAAAGAGATGTATATTATGCTGTAAATATGTTATAAATCTTGTACTACAAGTCTAAAATTATAATAATAAAATAAAGTGTACAGTGAATCCTCTCTAAATGCACACCCTCGGGACCATAGGAAAATTTTTGAAAAATATGTATTTATAGAGTATGTGTATTTATGGAGGTACTTTTATTAAGAGTTCTATGTACTTGGGACCAAGCTTGACCATGCATTTAGAGAGAGAAAATATAGTAAGTGTATTTATAGAGAGTGCATTTAGAGAGGTCTCTCTGTAATAGTCTTTTGCTTTTTCAAAAAAAAAAATTATATATATATTTTATATTTTTATTATATATTAATTAATTCAAATTAAAACTTCTTTTCACTTCCCCCTTTTGCACTTGAAAATTTTCTTTTTAGGAAACTTTTGAGTTGTTTACTTTTTTTTTGCTTTTCTCTTTTCCTTTTTTTCTTTCTCCTTTCCTATATACTTTTTTTCTCTTTTCTCTTTTCCTTATTCTTCCCTCTCTTTTCTATAAACTTTTATTTACATTATATCTCTTTCCCCTTTTTTTTTTCTTTTTCTGCTGAAACTAGGTTTTTCCTTCCCCCTGAAGTTTTTCCTTTCTAGATTTCTTTTTTGTTTGGAATACCACTCTTTATTTTATTACTCTTCTGGTTTGTTGACTTTTCTTTCTCAAGAACCAATCAAGAAATGATAACTTTTCTCAAGATATGGGCTTTGGAAAATTTTCTCTCTTTCATGGTTTTTTTTATAAAAAGAATGGATAGTTTACCTTCTCCAAAAGATTATTATAACCATTATTTCCATATCTAGCATTGTTTACTTGTTAATGGTTAGACTAGATATATCTAAAAAGCCACTATACAACTATTGTTATCTGAACTCCCAGGAAGTTGCATCTTATCATATCCAATAATGTGGCAGTCAATACCAATGTAAAAATTCTATATATGCCAGGCTGATGGCTAGAATATTTAATAAGATAACATGTAATAATCAAGGATTTTAATTATCTTCACAAGCAAAGCTGGTGACGACAATGAAAGTTTCTTGTTTACTTCTTGACAATATAAATCTTTATGCATGATTAGGTATAATGTCTATAAGAAATTCTATCACTATTACCATCACCATAATTATCCTATCCTCTGAATACTTTTGCCACACTTAAAAAGTGGATAGGTCAAATCTCACATGAATTAGAGATCAACCTGTGAAAAGTGGCTGTAGTGCCTTCATGCATTAACTAACTTCTCTGCCTGCTGTATATTAAGCCAAAGCTGAAAAGCAAGTATGCAAATCCTAGTTATGACTTGAAGATAAATCTGTATATTTGGTTGCAGTGCCTTTATGTGACTAGGTATCACACAAACATATCAGGCCTGAACTGGTCACTATTTAAGAGCTTATATAATTTTTATAGTTTTTTTCTATTGCTTGGATGGTTAGTTAAACTAAGACAGAATGATCAATTTATTTGTGTTACATATTAAACTCTTCCTAGCAAAGAAAAATATAGTTCAACCTTCTGTAATTATAATATTGTTTCCAGTAATCTCTTATAAATAAAAAAAAGACTGACATTGCTTTAGTTTTAAAAAAAAAAAAATTAATTAATTCAAATTTGATTAATTATTATTTAAAAATTTTAATATAATCAAAAATTAAAATCAAATTAAAATAAATAAAAATTTCTAAAAAAAGATTATATATTTAAAGAATAAAAAAAAATTTTTAAAAAAATAAAAAAAAAATTTTTAAATCAAATAGTTATTTTTTTAAATTTTTAAAATTTTAAGAAAAAAAATGGGTTTTTTGTATTTTATTATAATATGCATTTTAGTACTTATCTTAATAAAATAGTTTTGCTTTTATATTTATTTATAGAAATAAAAAAATAAATAAGAAAATAAAAACAAAAATCTTTAAATAATAATATTATTAAAGAAAATATATGACTTTATTATAAAAAATATATATAATTTTTTTGAAATGTTTATTTTTTAAATTGATAAAAAAATTAGTAAAAAAAGTTTTTAATTATATACTTTATTCTTAAACTATAAATTTTTCTATATTTAAATAGTTTTTAAAATGTATCTATTTTTTACTTGTCAAATAGAAATAAACATTTTTCTTTTTTTTCTAAGAACATACTCTGACAGTCGTCATTATATATATCGGATTAGACAGTTTATTTCCTTTTTTTTCCGTCTATTCTTTCGACATTCATTATTTAAGATAGCCATGTCGATTAATATTAGTAAAAAGAAAAAAAAATTAGGAGAAATAAATACTCTCGGTCGGGGAATTGAACCCCGGTCTCCCGCGTGACAGGCGGGGATACTAACCACTATACTAACCGAGATTTATTAACGAAACAATTCAAATTGACAATAAATAACATGTATATTTATTATGTTACGCAACATTTCCAAAAATCAAAAATACAATTTATGGCCCCTCTAAATTAAACCTATATATGGCATCCAGGAGATGTGATGACCAGAAGGCGGTGTTGAACACCATATTTGGAACCCATCACTAACGTTACGTATCTAAATGGTAACACTTAAAATGTCCGACTGTCAAAGAAACCAAAATTATTTTGCATCGACCAAAATGAAGCTGTACATATAAACATAAAATGACCCATTGTCTTCAGTGTAAAAAATTTTTTTTTTTACATTTACGTAGAGCGCGCGTCTGCATTTACTGTATGCACGTTAAAGCGGCTTACGCCTTGGTTTTGCCCAAGCCGCAATATTTTTTGGTAACGAGACAATCAATGATTGGACAAAAGAATATCACGTTTCACTATACACAACTCGTTTTGTTGGAAAACGAATTCCATTATTATCATCCCTTGTACAAGCTTCCATTCTAGGCACATCCGGTCTTCTGACCCCAATGAAACGCAAAAAAAAAATTTTTTTTTTTTACTCATTCCCTACCTTTTTTTGTTGTGTCGTTCTTTTCGGCACGTTTTAAATTTAGCTGCAAGCGGCTAAACATATCAAGAGAGATTGTTGTCTTATAAAGCACCCATCAAAGAAACAACTTACTCTCTTCACTATCTTTTTTCATTCTCTTCAATTATCCATCAATTTGAGACCAATCATAAAAAGACATCGTAAATAGTAAGCTCATAAATTATCCATAAAACAGCTAATCAAGATCCTCGGTCAATTCGATTCTATTCAAATTAATTTTATAATCAGTCATTTTCAGTAGCTAGGACAAGAGTAATGGACACTATAGTAAACTCTTATATTAGGGAGATTGAGGGTTACCTCAACACCAAACGAATAATGTACGAAGCTGAAGGAAGAAGGGATTTTGTTCCGTTGATAGATCGAACGGTGCAAATGGTGCGTTCCATAAAACATCCAACGGCACCGGAGACTTCCACCATTAACGTTACTGAACAAAGGTATGTCTCAGGTCGTGTGAGTATAAGAACACTAGATCCGTTAGAAGCATTATGCTAAAAATTTTTTTCTTCCTTCAGCAGAGATTCTTCACAACATACGTTTGAACGTCCACCCGAGAAGATGTATCATTATGCAGAAGGGGAAGCGATTGACTGTGCTATATGTATCGAGCAGGTCGAAGCAAAACATGCACAAGTTAGATTGTCATGTGGTCACATATACCATTTGAACTGTCTAGGGTATGTGCGCTTATTTCTTTATATATTTATTACATATAAAATTCTATCTTGTCGTTTTTAAAGCTTATTTATCGCTTTTTCGTAGTTCCCACTTTAATCATTCAGGTAATTAATATACGTGAATGTTATTTATTATGCGAAAAAGTTTACCCATGCATAAATTAAAACGATACACAGGCGATTTTAAATGTCCCTATTGTCGATTAGAGGTTGAAAAATATGTTAAACAACCGAGAACTTGGGAACATCCTTTAAACGGTCCCCCAACCCCGCAAAATCTCAGTGAACCCAATGATATACCGCATCCAGGAGAATTAGATTTTGCAAACTTTCAACGTGGTATTTATAAGGAGTTTTTTGGTTTCATTCTTGAAAGCTTGTAAAAACTTGGTGTCCTAAAATTACCCTCAATTTAAAGGAGTTTTACAAGTTGTGAATTCGATATTTGGTGGAAGATTAAATCTTGGTCATCCTTTCCGTAATGATAATGGTACCGAAGAAGATCTTCTTGATAATGAAGAGTATGTATTTTCACACTGAATCTATATTATTATTTATGATCATGCTAATTGTGACTCTTGCTTAATAATAATAGTGATGAGGTCTCAGATGTAGATCAAGTGGGTTATGAACCTCGTTTCGATGGGGTTCATGATCATCTTGAAAATTACGACAGCGATTCGGACGATGAGTCAAATTCATCCGATGAAGATCCTGATTATGATCCGAGTAGTTCCATTCATAGATATCGTTCACATCGAAATTCGTCATACAACGGTTCAACCGACAATCTTTCGGCACAAGGAAGAAGAGCTCGTCTTGTCATGCATGCTAGCAACAGTCGTATTGATGACTTACCAGATGGTAATGATGATGATCAAGATAGTACAGATCATACGTCGTCACGATCTATATTACAAGAACGACGGGAATGTGAGCATCCTTCAATAAGGTCATCATCTTCACTTTCCCGTCGCCGAGGAGATCCATCCAGAAATAGCTATCTTGAAAGAGAACGAGAAGATTCGTATTTAAGCAGCTCACGTCGTAATTCTGTTCGAGATAATGAAACAGGTGGGCTGTCATCACGTAGACACGGAAATAATTCTTCATTCATAGAACATGCCGCTCAAATGTTATACGAACGTTCACCAGGTTATTTTGAACGATCGATATTGGATCGCAACCGTTCGGCCAACCTTTTACTAGATGAATCCCAAAGATCTGATACTAGCGAATCATCTAGGTATCGGACTGATGATTCACTTCATAGGATCAATGTTAACGATTCATCTAGATATCGTGGTAATGATAACATTAATCGACGCGGTGAACAATACAACGATGATTCAAGAAGTTCGATATCTCCCTACGTTCACGGAGAAGAACCATTATATAATAACACAAATCGTCTGAGTTTCGTTAATACACTTCCACAAACTATTCTCAATGCATCTCAAAATTCATCTCCATCAATGACATATGGCACCCCATCCGATTCTGAATACGAATTCTCGAATGCATTATACCGACATGCGACAACCACCTCAAGATTGAGAAATATGTATCAAGAAGATTCCACTACTGAGGTGATGGACAGTGAAACTAGTAGCTCGTCATCCTCCGAACATTCAGAGGCTGACGATGACCAAGACGACGATGAAGTGATGTTCACAGGTTCATTCAATTGTGATTATGTTTTTTATTTTTTTCTGTAATGGTTTCTTATAGTCACTTCTTTTAATGATGTTATGTATATTATAGATGCAGGGAACGATATGGACACATCTGATGACGAAGGTGATGGTGACGAAGATACAGAAGAAGAAGGCTATAGACGTTGTTTTTCTCGTCAATCTTCGTCATCTTCGGATTCGCCAGCATTTTCTTCATCTGATGAGGATGAGGAGGATGATAACGCATCTATTGCAACCACAACGAGTAATTTGTCTCCATCAAGACCTGAAATAAATCAACATTGGTATAAACCTTGGTCGTGGTATGCTCCAGGCACGACATCGGCGCCTAATACTGCCTCACGTGAACCGACGGTCAACGGAGTCGACAGTGACGCTACAATAAGTAGTGGTGACGAACTCTATTCATGATTGGATGATCACAATAAAACATTGTGAAGTTTATTCATCACGTGTTTATCTCATACTTTTGTCTTACGCATCAATATATAGATACATGGACATTAAAAAAAAAAAAAAAAAATGGCGATATATTAAATCATAATTTACTCGGATATATCGTCATCATAAGAACCGAATCGCATTATGGGTTGGGATATGTCAAGTCTAGAACAAAAAAAATAGAGTTTGTAAATTTTCATGACTCTCATAAAACTAATAAATATTTGATATAGCTTATATCCTATATATATACTTTTTTCAAATAAAAATACAAGTACTATTAAAATTTTTTATTTTAAATATGTTTATATATAATTTTTTGAAATATAAAATTTAAAAGTATAATAATATTTTTATATAAGTATATTTTTTTACTATAATCAAACAAGTGCATATTGTTTATTAAATTTTTATAAAAAACAAATAATATATGATATATCATATTGCATAAATTATTCTATTGTTTTAAATATTTATCTTAAATTATGTTTCTAAATATAATTTTAAAAATGAAAAAGATTGTTTTTTTTTAATATCTATTTATCAATAAAATTTAAAATTAAAGATTATTATTTATAATTTATCACAATAGTTTATTTAAACTACTTTTTATAATTTTATTTCTATTTTTTTTTAATTCATTATATTGTTTCAAGTTTTGAAAGTTTTAAAAAAAAAATTATTGTAGTTGTTTTTAAAAAATACTTTAATTTATTAAAAATTATAAAGCATATATTAGAAAATTTTATTGAAAAAAAACTTCTAAGTTCTTTAGATTTAAAGATCTTTAAAGTAAATACAATATATATAATCTTTAAATATTATTTTAAAATTCTTCAAAAAATATTATTATTTATTAAATTTAAATTTGATTTTTTTAAAATTCCTATAATATTAATTTTATAATTTTGTTTTTTATATTTAATAACATTTTGAACTTTATTATTTTTGAAATTTTCAAAAATTTTTTTTAATAACTTACAAAATATTTATATTAAAAGTCTTTTTATCAAATTTAATTAAATTTTATAATATTTTAAAATTCTATAAAATTAAATTAAAAAATTTTTTAAAAAATAAATTTATTAACTAAGTATATACTGTATATATTATTAAAATAAGATATTATATAAATAATATCATAAATTGCTTCTATATTTACTTATTATATATTTTGGTTAATTTAATATATATATATCATTATATTCTTATATTAATACTAATTTTAATAAATTCTAAAAAACTCTTTTTACTAATTCTTTTACCAATTCAAAATGCAGATATTCTCAAAAGATTTTATTTCTTTATAATAATAAAGTCTATATATTTTTTTTAACAATACTAGTTTTCTAACTAGCAAGTAAGCAGCAGTTATCACTTGTTTTATTTTTTTCTTTTTAAAATACCTTTCTTGTCTATTTTTGTAACTAAATACAAGAAACATATTTAAAAGACTTATGACAAAAACACCTTTTTAGAAAAAAAACTAACAAGAAAAAACACTTTACAAAGGTTTCCAAGAGATTTAAGAATTCAGAAAAACAAGAATAAAGAAATCATTAGTCTTTTTATCATCTCTTTAACTTTATATTTTTTCTTTCTCAAGTATATTTCTTTTTTTCTGATTTTTCTGAAAAATTTTATCTACTTTAGTTTGATCCTGAATTTTTGATTATATCAAATTTTTTAAAAAATAATTGGTCAAGGTTACAGATTGGTTAATTATATCAGTTACAAAAAAAGTAAACAAGATATATACTCCTTATATGTTTTTAGTCGTGTAACATCAAACTGATGATGTGATTGATTTTTGAAAGAGTTAAATGATCTTTAATTAAAAAAGTAATATGAGAGTATTAAGTAAAGCAGATGTTGGAAGTAGAAGAAAAATAACATATTTTTTTTGTTTTCTGTTTTTTTTTTTCTTTTTTTATTCTTTTTTAAGAATAGAAAGTAACAACAAGATCTAAGTTCTACTTCAATCTGATAACAAGTTGAAGTATCAAGTTGAAATATCAATATTTATTCCAAAAATAATTGAAAAAAGAGATTCTAAAACTATTTACTGATTAAGTAAAGCAATAATGTCAGAAAGACATGGCTTGAAAAAGAAATCAATAATAGAAAACTAATATTTTTTCTGGTCAAAAGTCTTCAAGCATAAAGTTTCAAAAAATACTCTTTTAAAAGTATTCTTAACCATTTTTGAACATTGACTGCTTCAATAGAAATTAAACAATCTGGCTGATCACATATAATGAGAAGTGAAAATCATAAAAAACTTGAATTTTAAGTTCATTGAAATAATCTTTTCAATGATAGTTAAAATAGATAATAACTTTTTTCTATTTTTTTTTTCAATTGCTTCTTATATATACAATTGTATTGTTTTTTCTTTCTTATTCTTTTTTTTTATTTTCTTTTTTCCTTATATAGTTTTTACAAAAAGAAGTAATAAAATTTGAATTTATTGTTGTAACTGTAAAGATAATCTACTTTATTAAAATACTGGGATATTAATTCTTTTCAATAGAAGAACAATACTTTGCTCTTATAAATTATATCTAGAGGCTTTGACTGTTAATGAATAAGCTAGGTTATACATGTGGCATAAATTATTTTGCTGTTGACTCAATTCCCAAAATCCTCAAAAATAATTGCGTCATGACTCAATTATTTATATGTTTTAATAGTGACTTAATTAATTGTGTCAAATAATTGCGTCAATTGCATCAAAGATCTACGAATTTCAGTAACATGTATAAGCTAGGTCAAAAAAATTTATACTTTGCAGGCATTCTCATATTTGTAATAATTCTATTTTGATTAAAAAAAAAAAACTTTTTTCCATAAATCATCAATTTCTTAAAAATTATCTTTTTTGATAATTTTAAAAACACTTGTAAAAAATTATTTTTATTCTTAAAAGAATTACAAAACCATAAAAAATCATAACCAAAACATAGTTGCTCAGAAAAATAAATCTATTTTGTGAATTATATTGACTATTAACAACTTCTTGTTAGGTACTCCTAAAAAACCAGAGTCAGTTTATCTATAAAAGTAATTGACATATTAAAACACATAAAGCAAATCAAAACAAACTCAAATAAATAATATCAACACATCAAAAATTAAAATAAGTTCAAATAAACAATATCAACATGTTAACAATACAAACATAACAACAAAAAAAACACATCAATAGAACAGGCACATTAATATATTTATAGTTCTGAAAATTGGAATAAAACAGAATCGCAGAAAATTATATAAGGTTCAGAATACTATTAAAAATAATATTAGGATATATTTCACTTATTAAATTTAATATAAACTTGAAAATTGAATACAAAATTAAAGAGAATCATTAAAATCCTTAAACATAACAGATATATTAACAAAACTGATATATCAATACTACAATTACATCTTCTTAAATACAAGTAATAACAATAACAAACATACTATTACAAGAACATATTAACAGTAAATATATCAACAATTTATTTTATTCAAATAACTATAACCAGCCAAAATTTAAAACTAAGCTCAATCATCAATAATGAAATCTATTTTTTACCAACTGCAATGTCCTATGCAAATAATAATAATATTCTTATAAATAGAACTTGCTATTACATGTCCATAATATATCAAAATAAAAATAAAGAAATCATTCTTATAGAATAACAACAACTCAACTATTCAATAATTATTTTTCCAAGTGACTTATCCTTACTACAAATTTTTTTAGACCAGACTCTACAAACTTGTTTATATTCCAAATTGAGTTTACAATTTCTGAGAACCAAAAGAATCTTCTGATACAAATCTCATTTCTTATAGAAAAATCTTCTCAACTTCTTAATAAATTTTTAAACTTTCACAATTCACTTCAAAAAATTTTTGCAAGCAAAAGTCAATTTAGAAATAAAGTCTTATAGAAAGTACTAGCCAAAGGCTGGAATTATTCAAAATATATGTCCTGAAATATAATTCAAATCAATAAAAACACAAAGAAAAAGGGAAGCTTATTTACTCTCACAATACTATACCAATTGAAAAAAACAACCATCTTTTTTACAAATCCTTTTCATTAACAAAACTATTTTACCAATAGAATTATATAACAAGATTTTAAGTGAGACAAATATCAATATAACTAATAATCAAATATTCTAATTAACTATAACACCTAGCCAATCAGAAATCAGGTACTGCTTAATGAACTGTTAATTAAATCCACTAACTAATTAACTATAACTACTTATTCAGAATCTATATAAGGATAATTAATCATTATCTATTGATTTAAATTTTCCTATATTAGAAAATATAGATATGGGTAATACCATAAACACTTATACTTACCAGAAAAAAGAAAACACTTTTAGTGCAAATACTGACTTTACTGAAAGTGCTTATTTTTTTGCTATTCCACCACTGAAACTTTACCAAATCGCCACAAAGCCGTCACCAAATAGTTACAGTATTCGTAAAAAAATTGCCCCAATTTAGTTACGGCAGCAGTAACTATTTTGCTATCAAATCTCTCCAATTAAATAGCAATTAAGAAATTTTGAATTTTCTACTAAGTCGTCACCAAATCACTACAA